TGAAATTTAGTATTTTATGTAAAATATTTAATTCTTCTTCAGTTACTCTAATTCAACATATTCAATTCTTTTCTTTTTTATTCAACTCTAATTTATTAGTATTGATTCGTATTTACTAGATTACAATTCAAACGTAGTGAAATTTAGTATTTTATATAAAATATTTAATTCTTCTTCAGTTACTCTAATTCAACATTGATTGAATTTAATACTGATCGAACTGGATGTACAAGATTTATGTGCACAAAGTATTCAATTGTGTTTCTCTGTTAACCCTAAATTAGGCTAAATAAAACACTATACTATTTATTACTTATTTATCACTTATCAGATCACTTAGCGAAGAATTTTTGACAATTTTTTTTTGACAATTTTCACTCGGGATACAATACGTTTGATTAGTTGTGGAACAATGGAAAAAACTTGAAAACTTGAAAAAATTTAGTAAGGATAAGATTGAAAATGTTCTTGGGATCTTATCGGATGTTAAGCTAAAACCAGGGTGCCTCAGACTGTTCAACGTCAATCAAATCGTGCAATAGTGATACGTACTTTTGGCGTCTATTAATCGTTCGCGTGGACTAAGATCCGAAGAGGACAGTTGCTCCTTCACTTTGGCTACGTCCTTCGGATGCAGAATATCGAACCAACTTTGACCCAACAGGTCGCCCTGTGCAAGCACGAAAAATCCATTTATATTAATTTTTCCATTATCATAATACAAATAAATAAATCCATAAATGTCAAGGCTATGGCTTTGCGAAATTATGAAAGAATATATTGAAAGAATCATTCGTGAGATCAATTATCGATAGATAAGTAAAACGTGTGAAATGATTACTCACACTTGCAAAAAGACTACTTTTATGAATGAAAAAGTATGAACAAAGTATAGTGAAAACACAGCAAAAAAGAAATTGGCAAATAATTCGAAATTAGGAAATTGTTAATAAAAATATGGACAAAATATAAGTGTGATGAAATGAATAAAGGTACCAGTCTTGAAGCAGTTTGTTCGAAAATATTTTGTTATTGATATTTCTATATATTTATTTCACTGCTGTTAAATATAACGTTGGAAGAAACTGGTTTTCAATCGGCTCGCGCGTTTTATTATCGGTATATCGAAGAAAGCAGCGATACCTGAGAATAATTGAGTGTCTGCAAAACAGACTCGGATACGTAGAGAATTCTTCCACGATCACAGCCCACCACGAAGACAAAACCTTCCGCAGCCTGAAACAAGAGAAGCCGCCTTCGATTACGTCACCTAGATCAAACGTTAATTGCGATTACGCAACGAACGCCGTGGAAAATCGATGGACATTGTTACTGATAACTCTCTTTGAACTTTACATTAAATTCAGAAATGAATTCAGTATGCAATTTCGCAAGTGTGTTCCAACTTTCGTGCAACTCTGCAAACGAAGGAAAAACGTTTCGTAAATTACGTTTCTTTCATAAAATGGAACATTCTGTTGCACTTTCACTGTGATGAAATACTTTCTAAAAGTTAAATAGAGAGTGAAATAATAAGTATATAAATTTCGCGTGTCAATTAATATTTAAATTTCGTTGTTGTCTCCGAAAGAAATGGAAGATTCGACAACTCTTTCACATTTACTTTGAATTCCCTAAATTCGAGAAAACGTGCTTTCTTAGGCACACTTTGCATTTTACTGCAATATTACTCCGAAAACTTAATTTCAGAAGTAACATTGATTTAAAAATTTTAATATTAACATTAAGTATAATATTGAAATATTTAAATATTAATGTTAAATTAATATTAATTCAAATAAAATTAATATTAATCTGTGTTCGTTATCTTGTTTAATTATCATATATTATTTAATAAATATTATTTGTATTTAATAAATATTAAATAAATATATTTAGTAAATATTATTTGTATTTAATAAATATTAAATAAATATATTTAGTAAATATTATTTGTATTTAATAAATATTAAATAAATATATTTAGTAAATATTATTTGTATTTAATAAATATTAAATAAATATATTTAGTAAATATTATTTGTATTTAATAAATATTAAATAAATATATTTAGTAAATATTATTTGTATTTAATAAATATTAAATAAATATATTTAGTAAATATTATTTGTATTTAATAAATATTAAATAAATATATTTAGTAAATATTAAGTAAATATATTTAATAAATATTAAATAAATATATTTAATAAATATTAAGTAAATATATTTAATAAATATTAAATAAATATATTTAGTAAATATTATTTGTATTTAATAAATATTAAATAAATATTATTTGTATTTAATCTCTACAATAATAATAATGATACATATTTCCTCTTCAACTGGACAATTAATTCATTTCAAATATCTCGCCGGAAAACGTTGACATTTCTTTTTTTTTTTTTCTGCAGAGTGTACCAGAGTATACTCTGGAAATTCACTAAATTAACTTCTTAGAGTTAAAATATATTATTAATAAACCAGGTGAAATAATAAGTGTATATATTATTAATAATAAGTGTATATATTATTAATAAACCAGGTGAAACAATAAGTGTAATGTTTCAGTTTCGCCGATCTAACCGATCTAACCGATCTGATATAATGATAGTAAATTTCGGATTATTGAGCAGGCGAGTTCGATCGCCCGATCGTCTCGTATCGAATGTAAATCTTAACGCGGCGTTCTCGTAACAAGCGAAACGATTCGACTGTGCACGTAGGGGCGTACCGCGGCGCGACGTTAATGAATGTTGCATAGGATTCGAAGATATATCGTCAAACCGGAGCTCGCGAACGCCGTGGATTGCGCAACGGCGACGCACTTAGTGCCTGGGCTGTGACTTACCTGCCTGGGAGATTGACGATACGCGTACGAACATTGACGCGCTGTTAACTCTCGCGGTTTATCACGATCGTTCGAGATAGAGATCCGTGAGGCACTGAGTGCCTTCAATCGGTCAACGTGCCGAACCAAGTCCAATGTACCGAATGTTGTCTCGATCGACCCCGTTTCGATCGACAGTCTCTTTAGTCGAATCCGCTCCCTTGTTCTCTCGTTGACGATTACGCTACTCGCATCAATATTCCGACAGCAAACGAATTGCAAATGAAATTGTAATTTAAATATTAATCGTAACTTTCTAAGTGCTTAACTAATTTTTGTAATTTGTAAATATTAATCGTAACTTTTTTGTCGTACTTAACTAATTTTTCGAGGAGAGACATTGTAAAGTGCGCGGTGTAAATTGTAATTTAAATTTCGTGAGTGATTGTATGTCTCTCGATACAGTTTGAAATTTCATTTTATTCGGATTGTTGTTTTTTTTTCAAATTATTTTAAATTTAATAAACGTAAATTTTAAATTTCAAATTATTCAAATTATCACTAGATGGAAACGTTTATTGAATTTGAAAAAGAAACCGACATTATTTACATTTTATCTCTAACATTATCTCTATGAGAGTGATAAGCGTAGATTCGTTTCAAAGGTCGAAGCATCTGTTTTTAAAATGTATTTCATTCGTTTTATTCCAAGATTTTTCTTTTTAACGTCATGCAGCAGATACGAAAGTAATGTTAGATGACGTAGCATGTGAGAACGTTGAAAAGTTTCCCTGCAGATTTAAAGATAAAAGCCTCCAAAACTACGATTTCTTTTTTTGTAATTTTATTGAACTTTAAGTACCAAATAAACACGATTTCTTAAACTTAATACTCAAAGTTGATCGAAATGGTGAAAAAAAAAAATTGTATCGTTTTCGAGAGTCGTTGCAAAGAAGCTTCAATCTCGAAATCTATGAAATAATGTAGATGAAAGAAATTTTTCAATATTTTTACATACTACGACTTTATGTATTATATAATTTTTACCTAAAATATCATTAACAGCATTTTCGAGAGAAAAGTATCTGCATTTACCCATTTACGTGATATAAAAGCATTTCAGAATAAAACGCAGATTGAAAGTAAAGGTATCAAGCTTTAAAAATGAACCCAAAGTTTATCATCCTACGATTTCATGCAGGAAGCAGTTGTTTGAAATGTTACTTTGATTAAATGGAAATGTTGGGAATGTTAAAATCAGACGTTACTCACGAAGGAAGAATTGAGATTAAAATTGTATTTTAATTTAGGTTACATCCTGTACGTAAATTTATGCTGCTGTGTTGTGAGTGTGATGAAAGATTTGAAGAGATTCATTTTAATATACTTATTAATCAATAATTCTTTTAGAAAAACACTTGCAATCATCACTTTCCTTCGTCATTATTATTATTACACGATGCAAGGTGATAGTAAGTGAAAAATCAAATTTGTATAGACACGATTAAATTTGAATTACAATTTAATTTATACAGACATTCGAAGAATAATATATTAACACATATCGAATGAACATGTTAAAAGGTATATGTTTAAAATTGCATTTTTAATTTATTACCTGCATGCATTTTTAATTTATTACCTGCTCCTTACTCGATATTAAACTTTTCTACGACAATTTTCACAAGTACTGGAAGGATCGAAATATAAAATGAAGAAAGATAAAGGATAAAAGAAATTATTTCCTGAGGCAGTTCAACTTGTTACGATTCTTTCGTAATAATTTTCTTTGTTGAACAATTAATTTTTAAATTGCTTCACTATTTAAATTGAACAGGAATAAATCTCATTTCAAACGTAAACTGCGGGGAAATCTCCGTAGAATTTTAAATGGCGAATCGAAAATATGGTTGTAACGTCGTATCAATCAACTTAATCGACAGATGTCCAGGTAATAACTAGTCACACAGTATCCTTCGAAAAGATGTTGCAACGTATCTATGATACGTATCTCTGTAATTGCACATTACGATGTTCCCCGATATAAAAAGCTAATAAGCATCGACGAATATATACCTGGACGAAGGAATTTAATTGCCATTTGATGCTTTCCTGTCTAATAAATTTCATGTTTCATCACGACTCTGATTAAATACCGAGCAACCTTTAAGCGAAGCTTTCTTTCTATTAAGGAAAAATTCTGTCTCTCTTGCAGATGGAAAATATATACACTATTCTGTACAAAAAGTATGACGATTGATTTAAATTGTCAGGAAAATTGCGGTAAACTTAAATAAAGTTTGAAAAAGTACAGTATATACAGGGTAAAAATATTAGTATTGATAATATAATGTATCAGTAATATAATTATAATATTATATTAGATAATATATAATCAGATATGTGAAATAATATTAGTAATACAATTAAATATGACATTATATTAAAATATCATGTACAAGCCAGTAGGTAATGATTCTTCACAACAAAAGAAATAAGAAAAAAACATAAGAGAAAATTTTTCATATATCAATAATAATAATCATATATCAAAGATTTATCAACTAGATTTAAAATTGATTAATTAATTATTATAATATTTAGTTATTACTTATTATAATAATTAATTAATCAATTTATTAATAGACGTGACAGAAAAGAATAATTAATAAAAGATTATTTTACGTGCGAAAGTAAGTAAAAAACGTAGAACAAAATTTTCGAGAGGATCGAGTTAGAAAATTTATCAAGTACAATGCGTATACCAAGACGCAACATATTCAGCCTATTTTCATAAAAATGAAGCTGTGAATGACAAAATTTTATTTTATATTCTTTTGCACGTGAACTGATCATCTGTCAATTATTCGAAATTAATAGAATTATACTCGTATCGAATTCCAATGAGTTCGACAAAAATACGCCTTTTTAAATTATATCGTTTAAACAAATGGTTTCTTTTTGCAAAATGGTATACACTATTGAAAAACGCTAATTTCATCAATTTACACAATAGTTCTATAAGAGTAATTTCCAAGATATTTGCCGAAATAGATTCCAGAGTTTCAACTTTCAGGTTAGTTTACACTCCTTCGACATGAACGATTGTCGATTAAAAAATAAAAAGTGTCAAATATTTCCTCGAAAACTGCATTTTAAGTCAAACGTCATCAAAATCGACGACTGACACTTTGTAATTTTCTTTAATAATTCACTGCTCTCTTATGTATTTCTCGTTCCATTTTTGGAGGCGTTTGTTTCTCGTCTGACCATATAGAGTTTTTTCTACTTCCTTCGTTCCTAATCCCTATACGTTTCATATATTTTCCGAGCAGAGATGCAGCAATTGTGGTTCTCGCTTATTCCTTTCTATTTCTCGCCATCAGCAAATAATTCCTATTC